TTAGTTCGTTCGGAAGCCCCTTTACTTTAAACAACGCGTGTCCAATAATGACACAGTTGCTTCCTGGATCGTCACAATAATCACTGACTTATGCAATACAAGTTAATGCAAGTAAAGTTTGCTTCAAACCCTTAAACTGAGGGGCTGACAGTTCTATTGATTTTACAGTATATAAGGGTGCCCTCAAGGTCAGGTGTAATGTGAAATCATTGCTAGAATGAAATGAAAATGTCATCAAAAGAATTTTGACAAAATTCTGCTTACTTGTGTTCGTTTGTTTAGGGTTAAAATTGAAATCACAGGTTGGAAATTAGTTTGTTTCCATTGAACCTCTGAATATGATTCTGTAACTAAGAATCGCTTCTTTAATTTCTATGCTATACACTGAACGTGACTACAGAGAATCAAAGCGCGATATTTTCTGTTTCAAAATAAAATCAGGCTACGTGAGAAAACAATGGTGTCTAATTTGATGACAGACATGCTAATCGGCTTTTATTTGTTTTGTATTTTAGAAATTACGCAATCAATCAGACGTAAATATAAGAAAAAGATAATTAGACAAATACGCTTGGAAGACCGCCTCGATCACGTTCAGAACAAGAAAAAGAAACGATCCTGCAAAATTAATATAATTCATTAATTCATTGTTCACAGTTTGTTGGGGAAAGTTTCAGAACGTTAATGCTTCAAACCGACGAAATTGCATTACTTCACACTATCAAAAGTCGAAACAATGAATTTCCATAAAACTTGTTAGAAGACTATAGGTTACCTAATGAAACTTACAGATATTGAGAAGATATTGAATATCAAATATTAAAGAAACAAAAAAAAAACTCGGAGGAATTGAAATTTCTTTAATTTACAACAACATCAACAAACGTTTTCTATTTATCTCTGGGCATTATTGATGATAAATAGACCCTTCCTGAGACCATTTAGAAAAAATCCACCAACACAGCTAAAAAGAAAGTATTAAGTCCGGAACGTTGCCAAGTTTAACACTACTCACGCTAAACACTCGAGCAGATTCCATCCGGGCGATACTCTTTATCCATTTCACCCTTAAATTTTACATGCATTTTTCGCTCTTTTTTAATTTTTTTTTTTCTAACCATGCATACATTTCCACGAACTCTTTTATTTTTTATCTTTTGGCAATGATGACACGAAGCCATCAAACGTCAAGTTTCTTTTACATCGCTGATTCTTGTATTAAAATGTTGCCAAGATTAAAAGGATTTGTTGAAATCTAAGGAAGATATACATGTAGCTCTGCAAAGTCACCGAATTTTGTATGGTGGCATTAGTTCGTTTCCTCCACAATACAGACGTTGGTAACATTTCGCGACTTTGTGAAGCAGTAGGTTCGTTCTCTTTGGACGTTTAACCCTTAAACATGGGTAGTTACCTTAGTTTAAGGCCCTCTTCCCCTCAGCGTCGATGAACATTCGCTTACTGTTCTTTATCAAAAGTTGAAAAACAGATTGAGGAATATTTTTTTGTCTTGGCATCTGGTGTTGTCAGACTCGGCTAATCCATACTGTCAAAACAGCTGAAATGCTTGTAAAATAGGCTCAAAATGTCCAAAACTCAATTATGTTCGAATTTAGACATCTGTGTGCAAATCTCCAAACAAACGTAAAAATGTCAGTCTGTACATGTTCAACTGTCATATCTTCCGGTGGCTTTTAAAAGAGGTAAAAGTGAAGTTCAAATATAGACATATTAAATTTATATAATTAAGAATGGGAGATTACTTTTCATTTTTGTACTTCACCTGGTACATGTAAAGCTCCGACCCGTTAATAAACTGAGAATTTACTCCAAACAATAAACTTGTAACCTTTGCAAAGAGATCCACTTGGAATTCAGCCCGCGATCAAATGAACAAGTGATAACTTTAAAAAAAACGCAACCTCGATGGGTCGACACCTGAGCCCGCGATGCGATCATGTGAAACTGGTCAGACATACCCTGCTTTGACAACTGTTGATTGACCACAACATGGATGTGCAATATCAGGTTGCAAGCTCCCAATCTTTGTTTATTGTTTATTGTGTTGTTTGCCATAACATGTACAAAGCAAAAAAAATGAAATTATTTGAACTCTCATGGCGAGGAAGCCCAAGAGAAGCCACCGGGCTTATAAGGAATGGGCTCCCTCCTTTAGATAATTAGAACAAAATATTATCCTAATTACACATGGGAAAATCAATGGCAGAGCTACAGTAAATCTTAAAGTAAATACATTAGATATTCGTACTGATCATAGTTCTAGGCTAAAAAAAGCGAAATGACAAAAAGAAAGAAATGAAAATAAAAGAGCAAAGGTTAAAAAAAAAATACAAACATATATGATATACATATATATATTTATATACATATATATATATTTATACATATATATATATATATATATATATATATATATATATATATATATATATATATGTATATCATATATGTGTGTATTATATATATATATATAGGTACGTAGACTTGAACTAGGTCAAAAACATTTACTTGCTACTCAGAGTTTCATGCTTCATGAGAAGCAATCATCAAGTAAATGTTTTTGACCTAGTTCAAGTCTACGTATCTATTCAAAGCTCTGGTAAACCCATTGAGCACGTTTTAGTTGATGATCAATTTGAATTTCGTCATTTCATCATATATATATATATATATATATATCTAGCCGAATTTTTGAAAACCTACCTGAAAATGCACCAGAATATTCGCACAGAAAGCTGGCCATAGCCAGCTTTCTGGTCACTGCGCTGAGAGAAAACATAGGGGGCTTGCTGTCCTGCTTGGTCTCATTGTCAAGTTCAGTCCCTGAGCTAACTCGCCATGGGTTGGAAAGGGGCCTCCACGTCAATCCCTAGGGGGGGAGGCTGCTGCAAAAGCGTTGTACCTTCCGTTAGTCCTGGTCTGGGAGAGTCAGTGCACTGGTCACGTCTGCCTTTAGTTTGTCATGTGAAATTCTTGTGACGTTTGAGGCCCATTGGCCAATGAAAGCATTCCCCTCAAGCACGTGCTAGGCTGGGGGGGTGGAGGAAGTCAGGGGGTGACTTAACCTTGAATTCTCTGCTTAGAACTTGCTGAAGTCTCAAGCGTCCTCCGTCATTCAGGGCCTTTAAGCAGCTAGAGTGTATGGACAAGTCCAGAGTGTCTTTTTGATGGACTTGAATGTTTCTTTTGCTAATCAGGAACCAAGAAGAGAGTCACCTTAAGAGAACCATGGGTAAGAGCTGAGTTTCTTGGCGATATTTACTTTAGTTGAGTCAGTTTAAGGTGTGTGGGCTCCTGGTGTCCGATGTTACGGTTTTCATAAATCCGGCTAGATATATATATATATATATATTACTATTCATGATAAGAGGAATGCTTTCTGCTTACATCAAAAGGAAGCGGTACTTGTTGCATTTCGAATTTCAAAACTAAGAGAGTTAAAAAATTTAGGACCTTGGAAACTGATGGAGAACTTTCTTATATTAGTCCTGCATTGTGGCAAATAAAAAAGCTCCGAACTTCTAGTGCCATAAGAATGCACTTGGCGTGTCACCAAAAACATGTTATTGAAGCTATAAGGAAGTAAGCCAGATCTGTATTCATACATAAATTTTCCTATTTGAAGTTAGTAGATACTCTCAAGATTCAGAATTTTTAAATTTTTAAATAAGGGGTCAGTGCGAGCCTCGAAAGCACTCCTCGACATTATTCTTACGACCCGTTTTTGAAGTGTGATTAATCTTCTGAGGTTTGATGGGTAGGTCGATGCCCAGACGCTCACGCAGTAGAATAAGTATGGGTAGATAAGGCTAAAATAAAGCATCCGTAAGGAGGAATTATTAAGGCAAAAACTTGATTTATAGATTATACCTATGTCTTTAGACACTTTCCGAGCAACATTATGTATATGTGATTTCCATGTTAAATGTTCATCCAAAATTACACCAAGAAAAGTAGCTCCTTAACACGATCAATCGAATAATTACTAATGCTCGCAAAAACGGTTTGCTATATGAGTAGGATTGAATATTTCCTCTTCATTAGATTTGAAAATGGAAGGCAACTTACACTTAGTTTTCTTCTTGTTAATAAGATCGTTAAGTAATTTCCAAGTTGATTTTGTATTTGATTTATATTCATCTAATTTTATCTACTTTCTAGCCAGAAAGTGTGACATTTCACACTGGTTACCCTGTGGTTTGGACGGACGGGCGGACGGACGGACGGACGGTAAATGCTGGGATAGATAGATAACACAAGTTTCTTAGCTATGGGGCTCCGCTAACATTTATAAACTGGTACTCTATGCAGGATTATAATCTAAAAATACACTTGGAAGGTACTTTAAAGTTCCTTCTGTTATTTCCGTTTCGCTCTTTTCTCCAGTTTTTGCAACCTTTATCAGTTTTATATGTCACTTCTTTGGTGTTAAAGTAGATAAAGCTCTTTAAAAGACACCTAGGTGCAGATTATTACATAACCAAAATGCAACATTCAAAAACATAATTCCTTAGACATTCTTCCGAGTTATGTCTATATCTACTAGCACAAGAAAATAATAACAGTTAGACAGTTGTCAAAGCAGGGTATCGCTGACCAGTCTCACATGATCGCATCGCGGGCTCAGGTGTGGACCCATCGAGGTGGAGTTTTTTTTTTTTTATGCAGACGCCAATTAAAACTTACAAAAGGCATGTAAGCCCTAAACAACCCTTGACTGAAAGTTTAACCAGCAATTAGCGAAATGTATGACATTGATCTAAGCCAACACACACGCTTGGGCTGATATTTCAAATATGATAGCAGCACGTCAGAACATGCCCAAAGTATTCATAGAGGCGACTTAACAATGGCAAATATTAAGCCTTTGTGGTCTTTGAACTGTGTATATGCCGTATACATTGTCTGCATGAATATATTTGCTTTCGCTTTATTTCTTAATTATGGCCAAAAGTCGATTGAATAGTTGGTGAAGCGTTCTCATGTTTGTTGGGAGTAAAAGAACCTTCCAAATCATATCCCAGTCTCTTTTGCTGAACTGCTCTTAGCTCCATATGCATGTTCTGTCGTCTTTTCCTGCACAATGCCTTCAAAACGTCTCTGAACATTCGCATTCTGAAACTGTACACGATAGGATTCATCATAGAATTTGTTAGATGTAATGCATACACGTACGGCACAAAGCTATCAGGAATGCATCGCTGGCAGAACTCTCTCGTTGAGTAGACAACAAACGCAGGCATCCAAAACACAAGCGATGAAGCGATTGCAATAAAAAGCGTTTTTGAAAGTGGAAGATTGCGTTTTCTTAATTGATTGGTATGGATATCAAACTCGGGTGATGGTGCACGTAATTGATTGTGTATTTTAATGTAACTTGCACAGATAACCAAAAGAGAAATAAGAAGACAAGCGTCAGTAGAGATAAAAATGTATTTCTTTTTCACCTCCGAATAATGGAAGGAAAGCAGGGTTAGAGCAAAGAAACACAGTCCAACGGTCCACAAAACAACTATGCTATGGATGTAAACTCGACTGTTCGCAGTGCGATGACGGATTGGCCATAAGACAGCGAAAGCACGTTCCAGTGAGACAAGCGCGAGAAAATAAACAGACGTATTTGAAGATAGAACTACAAATGCCACGAAGGGGTATGATTGGCTTGTCCTTAACACATTGTACCCGTCTGTGATGTTTTGTGAAATAGCAGTTCCTATTAATACGGTTAGCACTGTACTACCTACAAATAAATCGGCAACGGCGAGGTTAATCAAAATAAAATACGCTCGCTTTAGATGTGGTCTCTGGGTCCAGAAGACAAAGATAGTAAAGATGTTTCCAACGATGATGATGATTGCTTCCAGTATGTAGATGACCACGAAGATAAAGGACGCTGATATTGATGAAGACATTTGCACTCTCTGTTAAATAGCTAAATTTGCGAGGAATAATAACTTTGCAAATATTCCCCAGCGAGGTAAAAAATATTGCCTTGTTTTTAAGCAATCATCTTCTTCGGATATTGTTTCTATGTGGAAAACACCTTTAGCCATTCAGCCAAACCAGCATATTTGATATGAATATAGACGTTTTTCTGTTCTTTAGTCAGCTTCAATGACTTGATAACCTGAGGACCGTGGTTTGCCAACGAAATTAATAACCCTACACAGTAATCATGATGACAGAACGTCGGTTCATACATTATATGCCCTTGAGCGCTTTCTTTTGGCTTTTTTCCCCCGCAGCTGGTGATATGATAATGCATCACACTTCGGCTACTATTTCAGTTTGGAGCTCTCTATGCCTTTTTCTCGCTAATAGTTCAGAAAGCATACCTTCTGATGCATATAAAAAGTAAAGAGGAAATAATGAATAAAGATTTGAAGTGAAATTACAATAAAAAAAAAAAACTGTTTTCGTGAGATTTAAAGTGTTGAAAAAAAATACGTCCCCTAGCATTTAATTATATTCAGTTTATGTCATTTCAGTTCCGATTATTATTATTTCATGTTTTTTAATTTAAAACATAATTTGTTTTTTTCACAAGGGCTCCAATGTACGTCCTAACTTTTTTCCCTTAAGTTTAGTGTTAAGGATAAATGTCTCTACACCTCATGTGTGCTATTTCTTGAAGAATTCTCAGTGCTTCTGGAACAAATTATGGCTGAATCCACTGGTCACTTACTAATATATAGATTTAGCCAGGGCTAAAAGCGAAGCTCCCGTTAATAAATTCATAATTTAAATCAAACAATAAACTTGTAATCCGCAGATCAGAGCACATTCATTTGACGTTTGAGGCAAAGGCTAAGTGCTTTTAGAGAAAAATAATTTGACAGTCCAAGAGTGAAACAGCTTTTACATCGAGTTATTAAATAATCTTATTTGTACACCCAAAAATAGCAATCATGTTCGATCACAGTAGATTAGGCCTGGAAAACAAATAGACCTACCTATTCGTGTATTGTATTTGCATTAGCTGTTGAATCATAATGTGGCATTCACCACTCTCTCCAACATTGCTCCGTTTGAGAAACTATGGATAATTGGACAACCCCGAAATATAATTTTAAGAAACACAGGCGCCACGATAGTCCTTGGTGGCAGCCAATTTACACGTTGCATTCCTCTGTCTAAAAGAAAGGCCAAAATAAAAAATCAGGCCGGATTTTTTGTGTTCAACAAGTTTAGTTTACTAGTAAATCTTGGCGACGAATCTGGTGGAGTGTAAACCAGCCTTTTAAACATACTTTTTCTCATCACGTCTCAGGTAAACAGTACTATGAGGCCCTTGTTTTTATCATACAGACCTCGGACAGAATTTGTTCTTTTTTGCCCTATTTAAACCTATAATTCTGCAGTTTTTCACAATTTTGCAAGAGAATTTGCACTCATTCAATATCCCCGACGATCAAAGCACGCGCTTCCTTTGCACAACAAATTATAGCATTGAATTATAAAACGTTTTCATGAAGAGAATTCTATAATGTCAGGACTTTCAGTGAGAAAAATCTGGTCCTATGTGATATGCAGGGTAAAATGGGCTTTTAATGAAAACGATAAAAAAATTCCCAAAATTACTTTTCGGCCAGCCGGACGGGGCTCACTTTTGACAGGCACTAAATTTGCAGTGCGATGAATAGAGTTACCATTTACGCTTCAACATGATAGATAAATTGTATGTTTAGGTTTTATTTCCCTTTATTTATTAAACTGCGGACGGTTTTGTTATGTGTAATCTTTAAAAGCGAGTGATATTTACGCGCGGCGTTTTGAGTATTCCTGCATGAGATGTTTATGTTCGACTGGATACAACCAGTGCAGCGATAAAAGTTGCGAGAGGGACTACTAACAATCAATAAAATAAATATAATTCGGTGAAACATGTACAGAGACAATAATTTTCATTCACGAAGAGAAGTATTGAGAGTAAAGTGTCTTTGAAAATCATGATTCAGGTAAGCATAAGCTTATTTATGTTTTAAGCCGGCTTCCCGGTGTTTGCTCTTTTTCAAGATGAACTCGAGGCAAGAAAATCGCTCAGGGCTTTCTTTTTACAGTCAAAATCATAAGTAAATAATCTTCGGAACATTTTCTTTGAATTTGAGGTCAAAAAATGTCTAAAGGCTTTTTAAACCTGATACTATTGTAGGTTAGATCATTGCTCGTATATAAACTTAAGCCGCATAAACCATACGCTCGACTTCAGGAAACCGAAAAAAAAACACATCAAAGACAACAATTTCTCAGGCTTACCAGTCGAGATGCTGCTTCTGAAGGTCATCAAGTGTTCCAGAATTTTCAACCCTCTTACGCCTCAAGCAAGGGCAAGTGAGTAGGCTCATTTTTGAAAACGATGCAATCCGAAATCGGATTTCCAATGACTTTGACAAGCGGTGCATTTGTCAACAAAGAGCGCAATAAACAAACCAGCCATGAATTACAGAACAATCTTGATAGCAGCTGTATTTCATTTTGTAAACCAAGTAGAAACAGCCAGTTTAAAACATCACCAGATGACACAAAACTCTGTAAGCTCCAGCTATCATTAAGCAAGTTTCCAGACGCTGCATAAATTTTCCGCATGAACTCACCTGTCAAATTTTGACCAATCAGAACATAAAAATTGAACGTAGAGCGTGATCAACGCGTGACAGTGAGAAAAGTCAAAAGTGATTGCCTTCCCCTCATGTAAATGTAAAAGCCGATTGAATTTTCGCGTCCGAGGTCAGTTCGAAATCAACATTTTAAAAGTGCGGCTCATGAACTCGACTTATTTCATATGCTTTTAAAAAAAATTGAACTTGAGCCTGCGATAATTGAAAAGTAGCAACCTGTCAGCGGATACGTTAAAAAACACTCGAACTCAGTGGGTCGATACCTGAGCCCGCGATAGGGTCAGGCGATACTGGTCAGCAGTAACACTATTTTGACTGCTGTCAATTAATCAAAACATGGATGTAAAATATCAGGTTGCAGGCTCCCAAACTAGCTAGAAAGTGTGAGATTAAACATTGGTATACCTGTGGTGCGGACGGACGGAAGGTCGGGTGGTCGGTGTACGGTCACGTGATTGCCGAATTTTCTAAGATGGATCGATTGTCTAAGCTATAGGACTTCGAATTGAGCCCGTGATCAAATAAAATATCAGCGCAAAACTCTAAACACTACGTGACCTCAATGGATAGGCTAATGAGCCCGCGATACACTCAGATGATGATGGTCAGCGTATACTCTAGTTTGACAGCTGTCAATTAACCTTCATTACAATGGCGAATATTCGAATTAACAGACTACGAGTGTGAGTAAGACATCTCCGTCCGGCATATAGTGGAAAATGCCAGATCGTGTACCTGAGCGAACCTGAGCCCACGTTATTAGTTTTCTAATAGTGGTCTGCACATGTCCCATTTTGACAGCGGTCAATTGACCTTAATTTAAACGACTGTCAGCCAACTGACAGCCTTGCCCGGCGTAGTTTTGTTTTTATGTTGAATTGGTAAGTGTGACATATTATATCCGCTTATATGTAGGGGCAAAACGACTGGTCTTTCATCTGAGCCCGCGAGATAGTCATGTGATAATTGTCAGCGGATGCCTAATTTTGACAGCTGTCAATCTAATCGTACTCATACGAATGGCTTACATAACTAAGAGGCGAGTCAAGTTGTGCAAGATCCTTTGTGACATTTGACATCGGCTTACATGAAGCGTGTGTACGGGTGGGCGGACGGGCGGGCGGACGGGCGGGCGGGCGTACGCTATGTCATAACCAAATTTTCTCAGATGGATAGTTTACCAAATTTTCTTACCCATGGTGCTCCGCTCTGCGCGCGCTTCGCGCGCGCTAGGAGCTCCGCTAATATCTGGTGACTTCAATTTACTTGTTGATGACCCATGTAGCATCTATGCAAACCTCTTTAATGAAATTCTTGAATCTTGCAACCTAAAAGAACACGTTACTGGAGCAACTCACGCTAACGGACACACTTTGGATCTTGTAATTTCTAAAAAAGATAATCCTCTCATTACTGAAATCAAGATTTTCGACCCTGTAATCTCGGATCACTGTGCGTTTCATTGTAACCTGCGGGTACAAAAACCGCACTTCACGAAGAAAAAGGTGTGCTATCGGAATCTGCGTTCTTTGGATATTGAATCCTTTTGTGAAGATATCTTGACTTCTCCCTTGCAACAGGATCAAGCTGTGGAACTCAACGCTCTTGTGGATCAATATGGCAATGTATTGCGATCCCTTTTGGATCTCTATGCCCCTCGTTACGACCTCGTGATCCCTGGTATAAACCAGAAGTGGTTGTGCAGAAAAACATTTGAAGGCGGTTAGAGAGGAAGTGGCGTTCGACTAGGTTACTATGTGATCGTGAGCAATACGTTAATCAGTGCTACGTTGTCAACAATTTGACTGACATCATTAATGAACATTCATCAGATCAGAGGATATTGTTCTAGACTGTTGGAAAGTTATTGCAAAAATCAACCAACAAGCGTTATCCTCTTTCTTCTGATGATACTGCCCTGGCAAATTCATTTGCTGATTTCTTTACCAGCAAGATTGATAAAATACATAATGGGCTTGTTGGAAGGAAAATACGCGTTGGGTCTGCCCCTCCTGACGTCAAAGTTTGTGTTGCAGAGTTTTGTAACTTTGCTAAGGTTACCTTGGAGGAAATTAAAAACGTTTTCAAGGAAACCACTATCTAAATCTTGTGAACTTGATCCTCTACCCGCGGTAGTTTTGAAAGGCTGTCTTACCGTATTACATCCTACTATTATGAGGATCATCAATCCGTCCTTATCGACTGGTGTTGTGCCCAATGCTCTGAAGGGTGCTATACTATCGCCACATTGAAAAAATCTGATGCTGACTTTGAACAGTTCCAAAACTTTCGTCCTATCTCGAACTTAAAAGTAGTATCGAAGCTTCTTGAAAAGGCAGTTGTCATACAACTCACAGATCACGTCATGGGGCACCACTTAGATGAGACGTTTCAGTCTGCATATAAAAACTTTCACTCCACCGAGACAGCTTTAGTAAGGGTCCAGAATGACATCCTGTGTGCTATTGACAACAATGAGTCTGTCATACTTCTTTTATTGGATTTATCAGATGCCTTCGACACGGTTGGTCACTCGATACTGTTATCAAGATTGCGTGACCGTTTCGGAGTTAACGGTACTGCAGTTGCATGGTTTAAGTCATACCTGACGTCCCGCACGTAGTTTGTTCGGGTCAATGACGGTAGGTCAACACAGCGCTCGCTAGAACGCGGTGTACCCCAGGGATCTGTTCTGGGCCCTCTTCTTTATCTCCTCTATACATCACCCATTGCTGATATCATCAAGTTCCTCAAGTTACAGTATCATTTATACGCTGACGATACCCAGCTGTATGATATACATACTTTATTGTTACCTTCCCAAAGGGGCTTTTCAGGAATTATGATTATATTACATTATTTATAATAACTAATTACAACACTTGGTCTGATACTAATTACAATGTTAGCTAATTACTAAATACAATGTTTTAAACTTAACTAAGAAGTATTTACAAAATTATCTAAAAGCTGGCTTCTTAAGGAACGTTTAAAAATTTCAACAGATGAAAAGATTATAAATTGTTTCAAATTTTAACAGTCCTGTAATAAAAGGTTCTCTGTCCGGAGGCAGTTCTGAAAAGAGGGATGTTTAGGTTTTGGCTACTCTGAGTTGTTCGTTCGCTAACTTGCTTACGGGTAATAAATTGGGATGTAAGATTTTCAGGGGCTTGACCGGTCATGCATTTGAAGGCTATAATAGCTTGGCGATAGTACAGTTGGTCCTTAACAGGCAACCAAGACAGGCTTTTTAAGAGGAGTGTTACATGATCATATTTTTTCGCACCGCTGACGATTCGGCAAGGAAAGTTTTGAACGGCCTGCAATTTTCTAACATTCTTATTTGTGGTATTTGCCCAAACATTCGAACAGTAGTACATTTTGCTGAAGACTAAGGCATGTATTACGGTTAACAACGTATTTTTGTCTGAGCAATGTTTGACCCGGTTAATTTGCGCGATACATTACGACACTGAGGTCGTTATATGGTATATATGATACTCGGCTGTACATAAGTGACTGTGGCTATGATCTCTCTTTGGCTAAGCGTCGTGTCGAATGCTGTGTAAATGACATTCATTGTTGGATGGTGAACAATGGTCTTAAATTCAGTCAGGATAAAACTGAACTTGTTCTCATCAGCTCAAAATCTCTTTGCAGGCCTTCTCTGGAGTTTATCCAGGTGGTTGAAGAGAGGATCTAACCCAAACCTTCCGCCCGAAATCTGGGGGTGATTATAGATCAGAGTCTTGATTTAACCGACGATATTAACAAAATCTGCGTTTCCTGTCATTTAAGGAACATATATATAGCTAAGATCAGGAAGGACTTAAGTGAAGATACCTCTCAAATTTTAGTACATGCGTTTATTAACTCTAAACTCGATAACTGTACCTCTTTGTTATATGGTCTTCGTAAACACCTGTTAAACAGGTTAAGACTGATACAAAACACTGCTGCACGCATACATTATCTAAGCGGTTTGACCATATCACTCCTATCCTGTTCAAGCTTCATTGGTTACCGCTAAATTATCGCATACATTTTAAAATTCTACTCTTCTACTCTACAAATGTCTAAATGTCTTGGCACCAACTTACCTACCCAAACTTTTTACGCTACACTAATGGTCCACGATTGCTTCGCTCTAGTTCCCAGAATTTTCTAGCCGTGCCTGGGACTAGTGTAAAGTATGGTGATAGGGCTTTTTCCGCAGCTGCTCCTAGGTTATGGAACCAATTGCCCCCTGAACTCAGGGCTGTTACATCTGTTGACCAGTTGTTCAGGAAACAGTTGAAGACATACTTATTTAAATTAGCCTACGATGTTTGATTTCAGTAGCTTTATTTAATTTAATTTTATCGTATAATAGTTTTTAACTCTAGTTTCTTACCATATTATTGTACAGCACTTTGAGCAATTAGTGGATACGGCGCTATATAAGCGTCTCTTATTATTATTATTATTATTATTACATGTAGTTACGTGAACAACTAAAAATAGGTGTTATTTCTGCTTATTTCAAAAGCGCTGTTAGTTAATGCAGTTTTGCGTTGAAATGGAACTTGGACGGGAGTCGAAGCTACCTTGAATAACGAGAAATTCTCACTTGCAACTCGAATTTGTGACAAGCAATTAATGTATGGATTTATCCAGGGCTAAAAGCGAAGCTCTCGGTAATATCTATAGCTTGATCAAACGAAATATAAAGTCGCGTAATGCTAAAGTTGATGTTACGCGAGACGATTTGCAAGTACGATTTTCAGCGCAACACAGCGTTACAATGTTGAAACAATCTTGCAGTCATTCGGAACAATGTCGCAACGTTGCTGTGATGCTGTGTTGTCTAACCGTGTTAACTCTTCTAGTGGTTGTAGATTTTTGAGAATACGCGGAAAAACGTGTCGTCATCGTCCTCGAATTAATCAACTCGACCGTGATTTTCTCTTGTCGTATTGGCAAATTTTAAAGTGCGTGCAAAGATTGCGAGTATCGTAATTAAGGTCTATGTATTGCTTATCGCCAACCTTCACACTTTTTAAAGGCTTCTGCTCCGAAGAGACATACTTTCCAAGACACTGACCAATAGTGAAACTGTATACTTAAGACCGTGAAAACCATATCCCGGCCTGTTTAGCGACACATTCCGGTTTAGACTAAGTAAGAGAGTACGTTGTGTGTGGGTAAAGTTCGATAAGGTTCAATTAGTTTTTCGAGTCGAATGTAAATTGATAATTAATCTGAGTTGTCAACGAATACTTGAAAACTACCGAGGCTACCAACGAATACGACCTATACAGTGGCTGTGTGATAAACTTTCCCAAGGTCGAATCATCTCAAGCTCTTTTTAACCTCTCATCGCGGTTTTGCTAGGCGGCGGTGGATAAATAAAAACGAAATGGTTTGCAATGACAATTATACCTTAAACCCCCGTTGCCCATGAGAAGAACTTTGACGAGATGATTTAGCATTTTTTAAATTGATGTTACTTTTTATTTATGCAACTTAAATGTTGAGTGGATGAAATAATCATTTCTTTTTACAGCGTTTTCCGATCTAAACAATAATTCGCTCATTCAAAGGAAGTGCACGTATAACAGGGCATTAATACTATTCTGTAAGTAGCATTTTCTCTAGAATAAAGTAAAGAAAACAGAGAGCGGCGTTTAGATATCATGGGGTGAAATTTTTAGGTTTTATATACATGTTGGTTTCGCGCGAACCATAATGTTTTTTGTTGCGTTGCTAACTCGTAGAGCACAGAACTTCTTAGTTTTTGTTTCATTTCATTTTCGACAATTTAACCTACACGCTAGACTTTCAAAAAAGTCCTTCTTCGGATTTCATATGACGAGGAACGAAGACCTCTCTCGACTTCGTCGCTCGCGGTTGGTCGCTTTGCAGCCAAGAAGGCTCGCTCCGCTCGCCAATAGCTCGACTTGTAGCAAGTCCACCTACACGCGTGCTTTGTATTTTCTATAGTTTTTACCGCACCAAAAACCGGATGTACTAAATGTAGCAACGCATTAGGTGGTCATAAAAAACCGGATGTATCAAAACATGATGGCTTGCTAGTCATGCTGCTAAAACCGTGTGGTCATAAAAAAGAGCTTAGGGGCACTTATCGACCGTTAGTCGTTGTAGCTTCAATATCAGTACTGTTCAAACTGTGTTTGAATTAATAATTTCATGCTTCACCACGAAAAGTCTTCTGGAAAAACGAGCAATTAAAAGTACCTACTAAGATTCAAAACTGAAACTTTTTTGTACTATGGTATTTTACAGTACTGCTCTGTTTTTCCGTAAGATCGTCGACATCGAGCGCTTTTCGTTACGGGTAGCCACTTTGGATCAACAACGAAGATGGCACCCATACCAGCCGGTAAGCGCTCGATCCTTGACAATCTTACGAAAAAATAGGAGACTGTGAACAGTCTGTGTTGATCAGTGCAAATATAATGGCCTTTCTACAAGTGTATACCTCGCACTGTTTCAACTGTAAACACAATGTAACCACAGCCTATTTCAGTGATCATTTTTCACAATCAGCGTCATTATATTGCTATCCTTAGTTTGACATACCAACTGAGTCAACTCATAACCGTAGATGTTGGTATACAGTGGAACCCCGTTAATACGGTCACCAATTTGCCCAAAAAAAATTTGGCCGTATTAACGAGGTTTTTTTTTTTTTTACCAAAAAATGTGTGGCCGTTTTGCCGGGCAGCCAAAAAAAGTGGCCGTAATAACGAGGTGACCATATTCCCGTGGTGGCCGTACGGCGAAGTTTCACTGTACCTTGATGTTGAATAAGCGACATGTTTTTGACACTCAAAATACAAGGCTGTGTATATGTCGGCTTGCTATCCTGCTCCTATGTTCAGTTGTCTTTTCCTGCAAGAGTTTCCTTAAAGCGTCTTTAAATATTGGCATCCTAGAACTGTAGACGAAGGGATTCACCATAGAATTTGCCAGATACATAGTGTAGGAAAGCATTGAGGACAAAATTCTCTGGTTGAGTAAACTACAAAACCAGGTATCCAAAACACCAGCGACGAAGCGATTGTGATAAAAAGCGTTTTGGAAAGCCGTAGATTGTGTACCTGTAATTGATGATGGCCATGAATATCAAGCCCTGGTGATGATGCGCGCAACCGATAGTAGTATAGGGCGCACTGGTTACTCCTCTTTTTTGCGGAGGATTCTCATTAGAGTGCGAAGGAATACATTAACGCCAATGACGTCATAACCTTTTGTCTTGATCTCATGAATAAAATGCGCAGGAATCTCATTAACTTGCAGTGGTATCTCCTAAAGATAAGGTCGTGGTATTTTTAGTTGGTTTAGGATTTTTAGTTACTTTAAGGCCGATAAACATCTTCGTTTTCGATTGGTTAGTTAGAAAATAAGAAACGTTTTTATTGGTTAATTCATACTGTCTGAGGAGTAAAGTCAAACTTGTCTGTGACTTAAAATCACTGAGACGTAACGTAATTATGCACTTCCTATTTCCTGCTGCTGTGATTGTCCTTGTTCCGGTTCACTGATTTTTGGCGGGCAAATCGTGTATATTAAAGAGGGCAAAGGAAAACTAGCTCTTTTTTGCACTGCAAGCAATGCTTTACTTACCCCTCTCCTTTTTATTTTTTATTTCCCTCCACCACCAGCACCACCACCACCACCGCCACATTTCTATTGTTTTCCCTAGACCACCACCGCCACCACATTTCTATTGTTTTCCCTCCACCACCACCACCGCCACCGCCACAATTCTATTGTTTTCCGTCCACCACCACCACCACCACCACCACATCTCTATCGTTTTCCCTCCACCACCACCACCACAACCACCACCACCGCCACCACATCTTTATTGTTTTCCCTCCACCACCACCACCACCACCACCACATTTCTATTGTTTTCCCTCCACCACCACCACCACCACCACCACCGCCACCACATCTCTATTGTTTTCCCTCCACCACCACCACCACCACCACATTTCTGTTGTTTTCTTTCCTCTTCCTCCTCCTCCTCCTCCTCCTTTACTCCTACTTTACCCCTCCTGTACCCCTCCTGTACCCCTACTGTACCCTTCCTGTACCCCTCCTGTACCCCTCCTGTACCCCTCCTGTACCCCTCCTGTACCCCTACTGTACCCTTCCTGTACCCCTACTGTACCCCTCCTGTACCCCTCCTGTACCCCTACTGTACCCCTACTGTATCCCTCCTGTACCCCTCCTGTACCCCTACTGTACCCTTCCTGTACCCCTACTGTACCCCACCTGTACCCCTCCTGTACCTCTACTGTACCCTTCCTGTACCCCTACTGTACCCCTCCTGTACCCCTCCTGTACCCCTACTGTACCCCTCCTGTACCCCTCCTGTACCCCTCCTGTACCCTTCCTGTACCCCTCCTGTACCCCTCCTGTACCCCTCCTGTACGCTTCCTGTACCCCTCCTGTACCCCTCCTGTACCCCTACTGTACCAAAACAAAAATGAGGAGGAGGAGGGAAAACAATAGAAATGTGATGGTGGTGGTGGTGGTGGAGGGAAAACAATAGAGATGTGGTGGCGGTAGTGGTGGTGGTGGTGGAGGGAAAACAATAGAAATGTGGTGATGGTGGTGGTGGTGGTGGAGGGAAAACAATAGAGATGTGGTGGCGGTGGTGGTGGTGGTGGTGGAGGGAAAACAATAGAATGGTGGCGGTGGTGGTGGTGGTGGTGGAGGGAAACAATAGAATTGTGGCGGTGGTGGTGGTGGTGGTGGAGGGAAAACAATAGAGATGTGTAGAGATGTGATGGCGGTGGCGGTGGTGGTGGTGGAGGGAAAACAATAGAAATGTGGTGGCGGTGGTGGTGGTGGTGGTGGAGGGAAAACAATAGAAATGTGGCAGTGGTGGTGGTGGTGGTGGTGGTGGTGGAGGGAAATAAAAAATAAAAAGGAGAGGGGTAAGTAAAACATTGCTTGCAGTGCAAAAAAGAGCTAGTTTGCCTTTGCCCTCTTTAATATACACGATTTGCCCGCCAAAAATCAGTGAACCGGAACAAGGACAATCACAGCAGCAGGAAATAGGAAGTGCATAATTACATTACGTCTCAGTGATTTTAAGTCACAGACAAGTTTGACTTTACTCCTCAGACAGTATGAATTAACCAATAAAAACGTTTCTTATTTTCTAACTAACCAATCGAAAACGAAGACGTCTATCGACCTTAAAGTAACTAAAAATCCTAAACCAACTAAAAATAACACATGACCTTATCTTTATGAGATACCACCGCAAGTTAATAAGATTCCTGCGCATTTTATTCATGAGATCAAGACAAAAGGTTATGACGTCATTGGCGTTAATGTATTCCTCCGCACTCTAATGAGAATCCTCCGCAAAAAAGAGGAGTAACCGGTGCGCCCTATACTACTACCGATTCCGTATTTTAAGGTAACTTATACACATTATCAGTTGGGAAATAAGAAGACCTGTGTTACTTGTGATAAAAACATATTCCTGTTTCACTTCTGGGTAAAGAATGGCGATGAGGGTTAAAGCAAAGAAACAAAGTCCAACTGCCCACCCGAAAACGATGCTAAAGATGTAAACTCGACTGTTTGTGGAACGATGGCGGATTGGCCATAACACAGAGAAAGCACGTTCCAAGGAGACAAGCGCGAGAAAATAGACGGACGTACTCGGAAACAAAACTTGGAAAGCAACCGAAGGATTCATTAATGGTGTGTCACTTTCTAGCATGACCTCAAATTTGAAAGCTGCGAAGACTGTTAGTTCTGTAATCCCTACAAGTAAATCTGCAATTGCGAGATTAATCAAAAGAAAATAAGTTCGTTTTATGCCGGATCTTTGATTCCAGAATACGAAAATAGTAAACGTGTTTCCAATAATGATCATGATTGCCTCCAGTGCGTAGATGACTGCGAACAAAATGGACGTCGCTGAAGGCATGTCTTTCCTCGTTCTGTTATCTAGTTTCCTATCCCAATCCACCAGCAACCAGTTACTTCGTCCTTAAGAACAACTCGAGCACAGTTGAAAAGGTCACAGTAGCGAAGATGACAAGAAAATATCGTTCCTATATTATTTCTCAGTATTAATACTGTTTTTGTAGACCAAATATAGATACTGAGTTTCTACATGAAGGCAGTTAGGACGGATCTTTGTAAAGCTCAGCGAGTCCAAGATACATGATGCTTGAAGCTAACGAAGCTAACGAAATGACTAAATTAACATATGTCGTGATAATGTTGAAAATAAACTGGAAGCCGTAAGCGCTAATTTTACGACATTTTCTTAGCAGCAGTGTACATAGACGCGCTTTGCATCTAGTATGATAGCAGAATACTTCGGGATGTCATTTTCAATTAACAAAAATGAAAACGGTTCAGTAATAAGAAAGGAATAGAAAAGAAAATTGACAAATGAAGTTGGCATCTCATAAAAAAAATGTGTCTTACTTAACACTCCTTTTGTGTATATTAGTGCATAGTTTTAATCAACATATTCCGCTCATGTTCTTTCAGCGGTAATTTTATATACATTTCGTAGTTTGTAAAATTGACAATTTCAATGTTCATATTTAACTAAAATTTACGGGAGAAAAGCGAGAAAATTAGAACATGATCTAACATTAAGAGTCATTTGAAAAGTCTGATTGTCAGGAAGGCAACTGAATCAGGACTCATCTCATCTAAGTTATTTCAGGGAATCCATGATGCTGTTGTCACTGCAACACTTATATTTCGTTTTTATGAATTATCAGCCTTAAAAAATTACTTATTTGCAAAGCCCATGCCAAATGCCCGAGTATCAAGTCTTTAATTACAAAGCATGTCATGTTATGTTTTGCTAATGCAGTTGATAAAATAAATGGTAAAAAATATCAATATTCATTTCTTAAGCCCACAAAAATTGATTTTTAAGTAAAACATTCTGACCATGGCATTTAATTTGCTTGCCGTATATGTGTGTGCGTGTTTCTTTTTTGTAATTTACTTTAATTTTATTTTTTTTAATTAAACTGACTTACTGCATGGACTTCTCCCACGCTATTGAATAATATTTATGCGCTTTGGAAAAACACATAAATTCTACAAATTTCTTTGTAGAAATGATTAAAATAAATAAAGTTCCGTTCATACACCGAGTTAGTACAGCTCAGTAAGCTTAAATGAGTATTATTATTCATTCTATGCTAGAATGAATACTCTCCCTTCATAACCTTAGAGTGCAGAGGAGTGAGGCATTGAAGATGGGATCTGTACAAAAATGAAGGTAACTGGCATGTTTATGTGATTTCGGACTAGAAGATCACGGCCGATAACCCCCTCCTCGATCTTTTTAATTCTTCATATCACTAAATGAAAGCCGAATCCAATAATTGCTATTTGATAAGTTGAGGAGACCTGATGTTAATCTCAGTTGGCCACAAAGAAACAGTGAGGATAAAAAGTCGGTTTCACATCATCCACATCTCGTGTCAATAAGCACGATTATTTATTCGCATCTACAATGAAAAGATCTTATACTTCGGTTATCAGTTTTATGGACATGGGGGTTATCTAGTGTATTGGTAATATAAAAAAGACGGGGTGATTTAATAACGCATAATAGATATGAAATTAAAGTACGACGAACTTAAAACAAAATCTAAACCTGATTTGTGTGCCGTAAGATTATTTTTTTGGCTCATTCAAAATCTACCCATCGAAAGATTTATATTATATTCGAATCATCTCCTATCAACAGGTAAATAATTACAATTTTTCAGTATTGATGAAAAAAAGAATGCCTTTTTCCATGTTTTTAATCTTTGAGAGGGTGTCGAATAAGGGAAATGTAGCTTTTTCCTGTTCATATATTATTTTCGTTTTGACAAGTGGTATATTTCAAAATGATAAATGGTGAAATATTCGTTAAGGTTTATGGGGATCTCTGTGTTTCTATAAACGCACTTAGCGTTATTACATCCGTTCTCTAACTGTTTAAAAACTGTATATCATGTCATTAGTGCTTGGCTAATGAGTATCATCAGCCCGGGAGCTCCTTGCAAATGAAAGTTTATCGCATATCATCGACCTCTTCTGAGAAAAGAGTGGCATAAATATTATTTGAAATATTACAACTAATTAGTGATTTGAAAAAGTTAATATTCATTTAAATGTCACAAATATCACAAAGATCTTTTTTTTCGTAATTTGATTACTGCTTAGACTTGGGAAAAATGTAAGACTGAACTTTTCGGGCATTAAAATGGATGACATAACCATGAGCTATTCTTAGTTATCTAAGACTTAAGCCGAGTAACCTGCACCTATTCGCACTGCATGAATAAAAGCATTACATATTATACCAATAATTTCTTAAATAAGTTAACAGCGCTGAAATTTAACACAGCACAGGATATTATCTTTAACTCGCGTCATGAGCGTCATTCAGTCCTATTAGTGAATATCAGATATGTCAAACGCGTTTGAGGCTATTCAAAAAAGGAGAATTTTTCAAGTAGCAACAAGTTTAATGTCAGAAATCGTATCTTCAACAATTTCACCTCCTTCAAATGATTCGCAATCTGGCAGCCTGTGATTTATATGGGTTAATCAAGCTCTTAAGGGGTGACGATGGGATAATTTATTTATGGGAATCAACGAAACAAAATATAAAAATATCATTCTTTTACAACCATGTTGGTGATGGAAGCTACAAAAATCACTCGCGTAATTGTACATTTTACCAGAATGATCTGTGCATTTAGCGTAACTCTTTCAAAGGTGTACGCTTCACAGTTGTTGAATGCATAGATAAGGCTTTTACCTAATTAATTATGCCATACAATCTGAGCTTTCAATATTTTTGTACTTCAGGCAGGTCAAAAGTATTGGAGTGAAGCTCCTTCCGGGCAAAAGCACGGACTATTTTGCTGAGCTGGACTTGTGTTCTGTCGTCTTTTTTTCCGCGTCAAGTGAACACCTCTTTTAATACTTAAGTTTTTCTGTGTTAGCTCCGTAAACCCCCAATCTTCCATGAACAATAGATGGTTAATGGGTTTCACGCCTTCGCCAGTTTATATCCTGCAGCCCTCATTTTACGTAACACTATTGTGAGTGAAAGTGAAGAATGATCATCGCAGTAAATTTTCCAATTAAAGCAATTGGAAAGAAGAAGCCTGAAAAAAATCAGGGCTTCAACGGGATTCGAACCCGCGACCTCCGCGTTGCCAGTGCGTTACTCTACCAACTGAGCTATGAAGCCACACATTGGGAGCGAGGTCAATGTGTGGCTTCATAGCTCAGTTGGTAGAGCAACGCACCAGCAACGCGGAGCTCACGGGTTCGAATCCCGTTGAAGCCCTGATTTTTTTCAGGCTTCTTCTTTCCAATTGTTTAAATTGGAAAATTTACTGCGATGATCATTCTTCACTTTCATCTACAACCGCAGTTCAAAAATGAATTATTTCATATACTTCACATCACTATTGTGAGTGGCAACATGACAATTGAAAAAAAGGATGATAAGGAGTCTCCTTGCCGGATTCCTCTTCTGATGTTATCCCGCCCAAACTGTCTTCCAGTTCACCATGCTGTTGCTAATATAGGGGTGATATACTTGACCGCTTCGCAACCCCGCTATAAACATTGGCACCTTTTAGATTTTGTAATGGTAAGGCAGGTAGACCAAAATGACATCTTCAACTGACAAGAACCATGAGAGGCGCTGACTGTTCAACTGAACATGTTTTGTTAAGATCCACTGTTCCCTTCTCCATCTGGAAATAAACCACTACATTTCCGCTGCCAAACCACCCTGTAAAATGGACTTTCCACAAGTGCATACCTTGCGTTATTTCAACTGCAAACACAATGTGACCACAGCCTATTTCAGTCATCATTTTTCACAATCAGCGTCATTATATTGCTATCACTAGTTTGACATATCAACTCATAACCGTAGATGTTGGTATACCTTTATGCTGAATAAGTGACAGGCTTTTGATAGTCAAAATACAAGGGTATGTGCATGCCGACTTGCTAACCCTGGTCCTATGCTCTGTTGTCTTTTCCTGCAGAGTTTCTTTAAAGCGTCTTTAAATATTGTCATCCTAAAACTGTAGACGAAGGGATTCACCATAGAATTTGCCAGATACATAGCATTCGCGAACCAAACTACTGGTACAGGAAAGCATTGAGGACAAAATTCTCTAGTTGAGTAAACTACAAAACCAGGTATCCAAAACACAAGCGACGAAGCGATTGTGATGAAAAGCGTTTTAGAAAGCCGTAGATTGTGTGCCTGTAAGTGATAGCCATGAATATCAAGCCCTGGTGATGATGCGCGCAACCGATTGCGTATTTTAAGGTAACTTGTACAGATTATCAGTTGGGAAATAAAAAGACCTATGTAACTTGCTATAAAGACATATTCCTCTTTCACCTCTGGGTAATGAATGGCGATGAGGGTTAAAGCAAAGAAACAAAGGCCAACTGCCCACACAAAAACGATGCTCTTGATGTAAACTCGACTGTTTATGGAGCGATGACGGATTGGCGATAACACGGAGAAAGCACGTTCCAAGGAGACAAGAGCGAGAAAATACACTGACGTACACGGAAACAAAAGTTGAAAAGCAACCGAAGGATTTGATTGTCTTTGCATCAATAGTCCGTCACTTTCTAGCGTGACCTCAAATTTGAAAGCTCCCAAGACTGTTAGTTCTGTAATTCCTACAAGTAAATCTGCAATTGCGAGGTTAATCAGAAGAAAATAAGTCCGATTTATGCGGGATCTTTGATTCCAGAATACGAAAATAGTAAACGTGTTACCAATAACGATCATGATTGCCTCCAGTGCAAAGATGACCACGAAGAAAATGGACGTCGATGAAGGCATGTCTTTCTTCGTTTTGTTATCTAGTTCTCTTAATTCAGAACAACTCGCGCACAGTTGAAAACCGGGTCGATCTCAGAAAATACTGTTCTTATTAATATTATTTCTCAGTATTAATACTGTATTTGTCTAAGGCCAAATATAGATACTGTATTTCTACATGAAAACAGTTAGGACAGGTGATCTTTGTAAAGCTCGGCGAGTCCAAGGTACATGATGCTTGAAGCTGACTGAGTTGTTAACGAAATGACTATATAATTATCAAAAAAGCATATGTCTTGATAATATTGAAAATAAACTGGCGTCCGTCCGCCCATTTATGTCCTAAGCGCTTTTTACGACATTTTATTAGCAGCAGTGTAAATAGACGCGCTTTGTATCTAGTATCATAAACGATTTCTTCGGGCTGTCATTTTTAATTAACGAAAATGAAAACGGTTCAGTAATTAGAAATCAACAGATAAGAAAATTCACAAATGAAGTTGGCATCTCATAAAAAAAATGTGTCTTACTCAACACTCCTTTTGTGTATATTAGTGCATAGATTTAATCGACATGCATATTCTGCTCATGTTCTTTCAGCGTTAATTTTATATACATTTCGTTGTTTGTAAAATTGACAATTTCAATGTTCATATTTAACTAAAATTTACGGGAGAAGAGCGAGAAAATTAGAACATGATCTAACATTAAGTGTTATTTGAAAAGTGTGATTGTCAGGAAGGAAACTGAATCAGGACTCATCTCATCTAAGTTATTTCAGGGAATCCAGATTGTGGTTGTCACTGCAACACTTATATTTCGTTTTTATTAATTATCATCCTTAAAAAATTACTTATTTGCAAAGCCCATGCCAAATGCTCTGAGTAACAAGTCTTTAATAACAAGGTATGTCACGCACATTATGTTTTGCTAATGCGGTTGATAACATAATTAGTCAAAAAAAATTAATATTTATTTCTTAAGCTTACAAAAATTGATTTTTAAGTAAAACATGTTGACCATTTGATTTGCTTGCCTTATGTGTGTGTGTGTGTTTTTTTTTTTATCATTATCTTTTATAATTATTATTTTTTACTTAAACTGACTTACTGCATGGACAGCTCCCACGCTGTTGAATAATATTTATGCGCTCTGGAAAAACTATCTCTCCATGCAAATAATTTCTTGGTAGAAATGATTAAAATAAATAAAGTTTCGTTCATACACCGAGTTAGTACATCTCAGTAAGCTTAAATGAGTATTATTATTCATTCTATACAAAAATGAATATTCTCCCTTCATAACCTTAGACTGCAGAGGAGTGACGCATTAAAAGTTGGGATCTGTACAAAGATGAAGGTAACTGGCATTTTTTAGTTGATGTCGGACTAGAAGATCACGGCCGATAACCCCCTCCTCGATCTTCTTGATTCTTTATATCACTAAATGAAAGCCGAATCCAATAATTGCTATTTGATAAGTTGAGGAGACTTGATGTTAATCTCAGTTGGCCACAAAGAAACAGTGAGGATAAAACGTCGATTTAAAGGCCCAAGTTTTACAATATCTTTCTTTTTCACATCATCTAGTGTCAATAAACACGATTATTTATTCGCATCTATAATGCAAAGATTGTATTCTTCGGTTATCAGTTTTTTGGACATCGGGGTTATCTAGTATTGGTAATACAAAAAAGACGGATGATTCAAGAACGCATATTAGATACGTAATTAAAATACGATGAACTTAAAAACAAAATCTAAACCCGATTTCTGTGCCGTAAGATTATTTTTTTGGCTCATTAAAAATCTACCCATGGAAAGATTTATATTTTATCTCCTATCAATGATAAATAATTACAATTTTTCGGTGTTGATGAAAAAAAACATCAATTTTCCATGTTTTTGATCTTTGAGAGGGTGTCGAATAAGGGAAAATCATGCAGGAGTAGCTTTTCCCGTTCATATTTTATTTTCGTTTTGACAAGTGGGATATTTTAAAATGATAAATGGTTAAGGTTTATGGGGATCTCTGTGTTCCTATAAACGCACTTAGCGTTTTTACATCCGTTCTCTAACTGTTTTAAAACCGTATATCATGTCATTAGTGCTTGGCTAATGAGTATCATCAGCCCGGAGCTTATTGCAAATGAAAATTTATCGCATATCCTCTTCTGAGAAAAAAGTGGCATAAATATATTATCTGAAATATTACAAGTTATTAGATATTTGTAAAAGTTAATATTCATTTAAATGCGACAAATATCACAAAGATCTTTTTTTAAGTAATCTGATTACTGCTTAAAAGACTTGGAAAAAATGTAAGACTGAACTTTTCGGGCATTAAAATGATGACATATAACCATGAGCTATTCTCGGATATTTAGGACGCACTGCATGAATAAAAACAATGCATATTACACCACATATTTTCTTTTTAAGGAAACTTTTAAAAAATTTAACAGCGCTGAAATTTAACACAGCATAGGATATTTTATTTAACTCCCGTCATGACCGTCACAGAGTGAATATCAGATATGTCAAATGAGTTTGAGGCTATTCAAAAAAGGAGCAGTTTTCAAGTTTTACAAGTTTAATGTCAGAAACCGTATCCTCAACAATTTCAGCTCTTTTAAATGATTCACAATCTAACAGCCTGTGATCTATATGGGATAATCAAGCCATTAAGTGGTGACGACGGAATGATTAATTTGGGAATGAACGAAACATAATATAAAAATGTCATTTTTTTACAACCATGTTGGTGATGAAGCTCACAAAAATCACTCGCGTAATTATACATTCACAGTTGTTGTTGCATAAAGAAGGCTTTTACTTAATTAATTATGCTATACAATCTGAGCTTTCAATATTTTTTTTATTTCAGGCAGGTCGAAAGTGTTAGAGTGAAGCCCCTTCCAGGCAAAAGCGCCGACTATTTTGCTGAGCTGGTCCTATGTTCTGTCGTCTTTTTCTCCGCGTCAACAAAGTCAACACCTCTTTTAATACTTAATCAATTATAATATGCAGTCAGCGTTATTGCTCTACTTTAGGCTGCTCAAATCATCATGTAATCGAAAGTGTTGGAGTAAATGAACCTTCTCGACCAAAGCCCAAATTATTTTTGCTGAATTGCTTTTATGTTCTGTCGTCTTTTTCTCCGGAATTTGTTTAATACGTCTTTGAAAATTTGCATTCTGAAACTGTAGACGAGAGGATTCACCATAGAATTTGCCAGATATAAAGCTTCCACGAGCCAAATAACCACTGGCGCAGAAAAGCAACCAGGACAGAAACCTTTCGTTGAGAAGACAAGATAGGCAGGCATCCAAAACACAAGCGATGAAGCAATTGCAATATAAAGTGTTTTTGAAAGCCGTAAATTGTGCTCCCTTGATCGATGCTTATGATTGTCTATCACGGCGGGTGAGGGTGCTCGCAATCGAGTGCGTATGCTAAGGTAACTTGTACAAATTATCAAGATGGAAATAAGAAGCGATGTCCTACCAGTGACAAAAACATATACCCCATTTACGTCTGGATAATAAAGGGATAACATGATAAGACCAAAAAAGACAAGAGCAATGGCCCAAACGATAACGATGCTATAGATGTAAACTCGACGATTTGTGATGCGATGACGGATTGGCCGTAAGACGGCGAAAGCACGTTCCATGGAGACAAGCGCTAGCAAGTAGACGGACGTACTCGAAAAGAAAAGTGTAAAAGCCGCTGAGAAGTTTGATCGGTTCAGCAGTAAAATGCCCTTGGCTAGATCATGAGATTTTAAAGTTCCTATGACTATAAGTTCTGTTATCCCCACAAGTAAATCGGCGACTGCGAGATTAATCAAAAGAAAATAAGTCCCTTTTAGGCGGGATCTCTGAGTCCAGAATACAAAGATTGTGAACGTGTTTCCAGCGATGATAATGATTGCTTGCACTGAGTAGATGACCACGAGGGTGATGTATGTTGAAGTAGGCATGTCCTTTTGGCGCTAGCTCCTGTTATATTGGCTACCGACTTCAACTAAAAACCCATCGCTTCAAGAAAGCCTACCTTTAAAAGTTGTTTACCTTATTTCATCAATTTGTAATTTTAGAATTTTAATTAGCTAATGATGAATAATTCGTCATTTCTAGAGTATTTATTGTAAACAGATTTTGTTAATAGATTTTTGTAGCATGATTTGTAAATAGATTTAGTACGAAGTATGAACAGTTAGTGATAAATGAACTCATAATTATTATTATCCAAATTAAAAATGCGAAACAGCTTCCACACGGTTGAAAGGTATCTTTAAGGTATCGAAAAAATAGTCTTCTTATTATTTCTCTGTCGAAAATACCTTTTGATCAGACCAGCCGGTAAAATCACAAAAATACAAGTCCCGTTGATCTCTAGCGAAGTTTGATATTGGCTTCAATTAGTAATGTTGTATAGAGGACATTTGATTGTTCTGAGTTCTCAGCTCAATGAATTAATATGTATAATAATTAGTGGAGGATATAAAGTCCTTTCACATATGCCCTTCGGGTATTTGACGAAATTTTTCAACAGCAAGTGTAAGCAAACACGATCATTTGCGTCTTAGTCTTAATAGCATACTAACAGCTCTTATTTATTATTTTTCACGTAGATTCACGGGTCGTTAATGAAGCACATATCCTGATAAACAAAATAGTCTTGAACTCTGTGTCTTTTAAGACAATTGGCATATTTTTTTCTCATTTTTAGATTTAATCATATTCTATTGATATCCTTTGAGTGTTAATTAAAATTAACACTGAATATTTATAGCTAATGACAAATAAGATATTAAAACGGAATCCATTAGATAATTGAATGAAATCTTACGCATGAAATTTTACTTGTGTTTGCACAATTCCTGTGAGTTCGACATCAATTTTCTCCCGTCTGGTGTTATTACAGATAATTAATTATACCTATAGCCCTCCCTTGTAAAATGTAAAAAAAAATTTGATATGGCTTAATTTATTCTGGTACAAGGTTTTTGTCCAATGAAAAGTAAAATTACTCAATTCCCTGATGGAGTCCGCCTTAACATTTCTCGATCTGTGTATTAACATCGGCGGGGAGATCAGAAAAAGAAAGAAACTGTTCTCTTGTTGTCACATAAATTGCATTGGCAAATAAAAACATACAACGTACGTACTAAAGAGGCCTATTCAGGGAAAGCATTTCTCTGAACATCTCACAGTTGAGAAATCTTAGGGAGTGTCTTTGTATATTTACCTCCATTTCATTTCGCAGATGCTGGGTTTTATCTATAGGACGGTTTTGTTTTTTACTTTCAATAGCTTGAAGGTGAAAATCAGCAATAATTAAGTATTGTTTGGAACACAACAACTGTGCGTGCTCGCTCTACAATCAGGACAATCTCGTCTGCGTAGAGATGGAGTGAAAAGACAGTGTTAAAACCTGGTCAAATGATCTAGTAGGTCTGTTCCCCTGCTGTCCATCATTTCTCTCCTCAATTCCAAGACAACACACTTTTCTAAAACCTATAAACCACATATTTGACTGTTTCTGACAAAATCTTTACGGCTTGATTAAGTGGCAAGTTAACTCCCAATCTTCCATGAACAATAGATGGCTGACGAGTTTCATGCCTTCGCCAGTTTATATCCTGTAGCTCTCATCTTTCATAACACTATTGGGAGTGGCAACATGGCTATTAAAAACAGCAAGGATGATAAAGAGTCTCCTGGGGAGATTTTTCTTCTGGCATTTTTTGCGCCACAACTGTCTTTCTAGTTCACCATGCTGTTGCTAATAAAGGGGTCAATTTCTTGACCGCTTTGCATCCCCGCTATAAACATTGGCACCTTTTAGATTTTGCAATAGTAAGGAAGGTGGACAAAAATGACATCTTGAACTGACAAGAACCATGGGAGGCGCTGACTGTTCAACTGACCATATTTTGTTAAGATCCACTGTTCCCTTCTCCATCAGGAAATAAACCACTCCATAACTGCTGACAAACCACCTTGATGTAAGATAAAACGAGATAAAACCAGCAGAAGTTGAAAAAGTAAATGGACAAGGCTTTGGCAGGATCTCAACATCTCTAGTCAGAGACTGAAGAAAACTAGAATTCTTTAAGACAAACTACATACGATACTGCCCTGAGTGTCTTAGGTAAATTCGGTCGGAAACACCAGGATTGGTTCGAAGACAGTAACAAGAAGGTGAAGGATCTGTTTGGATGAAGGAAATAATGCAAGGGTGAAACAGCTTCAGCTGAACACTAGAACAAACAGGGCAGAACTGACTAGTGTTCGACGGAATCTACAGCAGTGCACCAGGGAAATAAAATCTCAATGGTGGGAGGCTGAAGGATTCAGGCAGGCAGCAAATAAAAACGAAATGAAAGCCTTTTAAAATGGCTTGAGGGAAGTATATGGGCCACAGAAGAGCTAGGGGTACAACAAAGCGTACTGTCTTTGATGGTGAGACAGAAATACAGGAGAAAGCTAAGAATCTCGATAGATTTGCAAACCAATTTGACCAGCTACTTAACATGACAGGAGCGGTTGACGGCTCTGCCTTGGACACCATTGCACAGAGGCCAAACATTACACTTGTTGATGAAAATCCTGAAAGGAAGGAACTGTTGGATGCCATCAATGCAACAAAAGAAGGTAAAGCCCTTGGAAGGTGTGGTATACCTGTCGAAATCTGGAAACATTGTGGCTGCGAAACTCGCCTCTAGCCTATACAATCTGAGTTTTGCACTAGTCTGGGAAAATGGCTGACGAAATACCAGAGGAATGGGGAGATGCCATTATCGGGCCAGTCTTCAAGAAGGGAAGTAGAAAGGACTGAGGGAGCTATCGAGGTATTTCTCGTCTCTCCGCCAAAATGATCTTGGCTTGATCACATACTCCTCATAATATTGAACGAATACATAGTTCCCAATACCTTGCCTGAAACTCGATGTGGTATTCGCAGTGATGGAGGCACTGTGGATGTAGCTGAATATGATCGATCCTCTGTTTGCGACAGTTAGAAGAGAAGTGTAAAGAGCATAATATGCCGCTGTATACTGTTTTATCAACTTCACATTGGCTTTTGATACAGTGCTCGGAAAGTATGGATGTACTGCTGTTAATTTATCAATCTTTTGAGGGCACTGCACAACGAAATGCAAGCACATGTGGATCAAGGAAACTACATCTCCAAGGAATTTGCTCTCACCAATGGTGAAAAGAAAGGTTGCGTGCTCGCTCCGACACTGTTCTCTCTCTACCTAACAGCAATGCTAGAAGTAGCCTTTGACGATGTTGGGGAAGATATCTTCATCCAAACCCGTATTAATGCTGACCTGTTTAACTTAGCCCTTTTCAGAGCAAAAACACGCACAACCTAGACCCTAGTGGGGGAAATGATGTTTGCTGTCTGGTGGACAGGTTCACCAGACCTGTCCTAATATATCAGAGTCAAGTGAAGAAGCTCCATGCTTATATGATGGCACCGCTAAGAGTAATAATGAACGTACCATGGAAGGACAAGATCACGAATGTGGAAATTCTCTGCCTTACAGGACTAATTTCAATGACTGATATTCTCATAGCGAAAAATCTCTGATGGCTGGGTCACGTGCGTAGGATAGATATTAACAGACTTCCAATGCAGCTGTTATAATTTCAACTCTGCTTGGGAATGCGTAATCAAGGGAGGCCTAGATTAAGGTTCAAAGATGTTGCAAAGACAAACATGAAATGGAGAGACATCGATCTCGATGGCAGGAGAAGGCCAACGACAGACCTACCTGGAGGAGACTTATCAAACCATGCTGAACCCTAGAATGGTCTCAGTCGAACCAAGTGACTGCGATGACGATGATACTCTTGGCGTTCCAACCATCTCTAAGCATTTCAGGATCCACGAATGTCGCGCCATATCACTAGAAGGATTATTAACGAGAGATCAGACACTCCTATACCCTTATCAAGGTGGTCTTTACCGCGCCAGAAACCAGGCTGGCGTCTCCTGGTAGAGAGGGACCTATGTCCCTTTACCATATCCTCCCGGTCCTATTTGAAATTGTGCATTGCCCATGTTGAAGCCTGCATAGTAAGCTTTTTGGTATGCAGTACGAGTGACTTAGTTCTTTACTTCATACAGATGTATTCTGCAAATATATACAAGTGACATAAGTGGGTATTTCACCTGGGGCATCTGACATTGCCGTTTTTGAAGAACAGCATATTCACCATAAAATTACTCGCATTTTCAGTGATACACTATTTTTGCTACGCGCTTGGCTACCCCTTATGCAGTTCTCGAATCTATACTCTTCTGTGTGACTGAAAAATCGCTCATATTGCTGCATGCGCTGGTTAAGAGAATAAATCGTCCTAATTTACGCTCTACTCCGCCTGAAGACACCACCCTGCTTTATCTTTTATCTTTTTAAATATCTTAATTATTCTTGCCAGTAGGGATTTTTAAATCAGATTGTCCCGGACACAGCTATAGTAGCCTTAAAAATATCACACCATGATATCTAGAGGCCGCTCTCTGTTTTCTTTACTTTATTTTAGAGAAATGGCTTACAAGATAGCATTACTGCCCTATTATATGTGCCCTTTCTCTGAATGGACGAATTATTGCTTGGATGGGCAACTGCTCCAAAAAGGTGGTTCTTTCATCACACAGAACATTTCTTAAGTTGTATGAATAAAAAGTAAAATTGATTTACAAATTACTGAATCATCTCGTAAAAGTTACTTCTAATGGGCAACAGGGGTTTAAGGTATAATTGTCATTGCAAAACATTTCGTGTTTATTTATCCACCACCGCCTTGAGAAGAATTGATAGAGAGATTACAAAGAGCTTAATTATAAGATGATTCAACCTTGAGAAAGTTTTTCACACAGTTTTTGTGTAAGTAGTCGTACTCGCTGGCTGTCCCGGTAGTTTTCAATTTTTACTGTTCAAACTGTGTTTGAATTAATAATTTCATGCCTCACTACGAAAAATCTTATGGAAAAACGTTGAGCAATTAAAACTACCTCCTAACATTCAAAATTACAATTCCTTTTTACTATGGTATTTTACAGTACTGCTCTGTGTGTTAATTACACTATTCGCTGTCGCCTTTTTTTCTGTAAGATCGTCGACATCGAGGTAGCCATTTTGGATCACCGACCAAGATGGCACCCATTCCGGCGGTAAGAGCTCGATCCTGACGATCTTACGAAAAAATAGGGGACTGTGAACAGTCTATGTGTTGATCAGTGCAACTGGACTTTCCACAAGTGCATAACTTGCGTTATTTGAGCTGCAAACACAATGTGACCACAATTTCAGTGATCATTTTTCACAATCAGCTTCATTATATTGCTATCCCTACTAGTTTGACATATCAACTCATAACCGTAGATGTTGGTATACCTTTACGCTGAATAAGCGACAGGCTTTTGATAGTCAAAATACAAGGCTCTGTACATGCCGACTTGCTAACCCTGGTCCTATGTTCTGTTGTCTTTTCCTGTAGAATTTCTTTAAAGCGTCTTTAAATATTGGCATCCTGAAACTGTATACGAAGGGATTCACCATAGAATTTGCCAGATACATCGCGTTCGCGAACCTAAGTACTGGTACAGGAAAGCATTGAGGACAAAATTCTCTGGTTGAGTAAACTACAAAACCAGGTATCCAAAACACAAGCGACGAAGCGATTGTGATGAAAAGCGTTTTAGAAAGTCGTAGATCGTGTGCTTGTGATTGATGGCCATGAATATCTAGCCCTGGTGGTGATGCGCGCAACCGATTGCGTATTTTAAGGTAACTTATACAGATTATCAGTTGGGAAATAAAAAGACCTGTGTTACTTGTTATAAAAACATATTCCTCTTTCACCTCTGGGTAATGAATGGCGATGACGGTTAGAGCAAAGAAACAAAGGCCAACTGCCCACACAAAAACGATGCTCTTGATGTAAACTCGACTGCTTATGGAGCGATGACGGATTGGCGATAACACGGAGAAAGCACGTTCCAAGGAGACAAGAGCGAGAAAATACACTGACGTACACGCAAAAAAAAGTTGAAAAGCAATCGAAGGATTTGATTGTCTTTGCATCAATAGTCCGTCACTTTCTAGCGTGACCTCAAATTTGAAAGCTCCCAAGACTGTTAGTTCTGTAATTCCTACAAGTAAATCTGCAATTGCGAGGTTAATCAGAAGAAAATAAGTCCGATTTATGCGGATCAATCTTTGATTCCAGAATACGAAAATAGTAAACGTGTTACCAATAACGATCATGATTGCCTCCAGTGCGAAGATGACCACGAAGAAAATGGACGTCGTTGAAGGCATGTCTTTCTTCGTTTTGTTATCTAGTTCTCTTAATTCAGAACAACTCGCGCACAGTTGAAAACCGGGTCGATCTCAAGAAAATATCGTTCTTATTAATATTATTTCTCAGTATTAATACTGTATTTGTATAAGACCAAATATAGATACTGTATTTCTTCATGAAAACAGTTAGGACAGGTGATCTTTGTAAAGGTCAGCGAGTCCAAGGTACATGATGCTTGAAGCTGACTGAGTTGTTAACGAAATGACTATATAATTATCAAAAAAGGATATGTCTTGATAATATTGAAGATAAACTGGCGTCCGTCCGCCCATTTATGTCCTAAGCGCTTTTTACGACATTTTATTAGCAGCAGTGTAAATAGACGCGCTTTGCATCTAGTATGATAAAAGATTTCTTCGGGCTGTCATTTTTAATTAACGAAAATGAAAACGGTTCAGTAATTAGAAAGCAACAGATAAGAAAATTCACAAATGAAGTTGGCATCTCATAAAGAAAAACATGTCTTACTCAACACTCCTTTTGTGTATATTAGTGCATAGATTTAATCGACATGCATATTCTGCTCATGTTCTTTCAGCTATATACATTTCGTTGTTTGTAAAATTGACAATTTTAATGTTCATATTTAAATAAAATTTAAGGGAGAAGAGCGAGAAAATTAGAACATGATCTAACATTAAGTGTTATTTGAAAAGTGTGATTGTCAGGAAGGCAACTGAATCAGGACTCATCTCATCTAAGTTCTTTCAGGGAATCCATGATGCTGTTGTCACTGCAACACTTATATTTCGTTTTTATTAATTATCAGTCTAAAAAAAATTACTTATTTGCAAAGCCCATGCCAAATGCTCTGAGTAACAAGTCTTTAATAACAAGGTATGTCACACATGTTATGTTTTGCTAATGCGGTTGATAAAATAATTAGTCAAAAAAAATCAATATTCATTTATTAAGCTTACAAAAATTGATTTTTAAGTAAAACATGTTGACCATTTGATTTGCTTGCAGTATATGTGTGTGTGTGTGTTTTTTTATTATTATTTTTTATTATTATTATTATTTTTTACTTAAACTGACTTACTGCATGGACAGCTCCCACGCTGTTGAATAATATTTATGCGCTCTGGAAAAACTTCCATGCAAATAATTTCTTTGTAGAAATGATTAAAATAAATAAAGTTCCGTTCATACACCGAGTTAGTACAGCTCAGTAAGCTTAAATGAGTATTATTATTCATTCTATGCTAGAATGAATATTCTCCCTTCATAACCTTAGACTGCAGAGGAGTGAGGCATTAATTGAAGATGGGATCTGTACAAAAATGAAGGTAACACTGGCATGTTTAGTTGATGTCGGACTAGAAGATCACGGTCGATAACCCCCTCCTCAATCGTCTTAATTCTTCATATCACTAAATGAAAGCCGAATCCAATAATTACTATTTGATAAGTCGAGGAGACTTGATGTTAATCTTAGTTGGCCACAAAGAAACAGAGAGGATAAAAAGTTGATTTAAAGGCCCAAGTTTTACATCTTTTTCACATCATCTCGTGTCAATAAACACGATTATATATTCGCATCTATAATGCAAAGATTGTATATACTTCGGTTATCAGTTTTTTGGACATCGGGGTTATCTAGTACTGGTAATATAAAAAAGACGAGTGATTCAAGAACGCATATTAGATATGTAATTAAAGTACGATGAACTTAAAAACAAAATCTAAACCTGATTTCTGTACCGTAAGATTATTTTTTGGCTCATTAAAAATCTACCCATGGAAAGATTTATATTTTATCTCCTATCAATGGTAAATAATTACAATTTCCAGTGTTGATGAAAAAAAAATTCAATTTTCCATGTTTTTAATCTTTGAGAGGGTGTTGAATAAGGGAAAATCATGCAGGAGTAGCTTTTCCCGTTCATATTTTATTTTCGTTTTGACAAGTGGTATATTTTAAAATGATAAATGGTGAAATATTCGTTAACGTTTATGGGAATCTGTGTGTTTCCATAAACGCACTTAGCGTTTTTACATCCGTTCTCTAACTGATTAAAAACTGTATATCATGTCATTAGTGCTTGGCTAATGAGTATCATCAGCCCGGAGCTTATTGCAAATGAAAATTTATCGCATATCCTCTTCTGAGAATAGAGTGGCATAAATATATTATCTGAAATATTACAAGTAATTAGTGATTTGTAAGAGTTAATATTTATTCAAATGCGACAAATATCACAAAGATCTTTTTTAAGTAATTTGATTACTGCTTATAAGACTTGGAAAAAAGGTAATACTGAACTTTTCGGGCATTAAAATGATGACATAACCATAAGCTATTCTCAGATATTTAAGACGTACTGCATGAATAAAAACATTGCATTGAAATTGAATTAAATTTAAATTTAAAACAGCACAGGATATTTAACTCGCGTCATAACCGTCACAGAGTGAATATCAGATTATGTCAAATGAGTTTGAGGCTATTCAAAAAAGCAGCATTTTTCAAGTTTAACAAGTTTAATGTCATGATCAGAAACCGTATCCTCAACAATTTCAGCTCCTTCAAATGATTCACAATCTAACAGCCTGTAATCCATATGGGTTAATCAAGCCATTAAGTGGTGACGACGGGATGATTAATTTGGGAATGAACGAAAAATAATATAAAAATGTCATTTTTTTACATCCATCTTGGTGATGAAGCTTACAAAAATCACTCGCGTAATTGTACATTCACAGTTGTTGTTGCATAAAGAAGGCTTTTACTTAATTAATTATGCTATACAATCTGAGCTTTCAATATTTTTCTACTTCAGGCAGGTCGAAAGTGTTAGAGTAAAGCCCCTTCCGGGCAAAAGCGCCGTCTATTTTGCTGAGCTGGTCCTATGTTCTGTCGTCTTAGTTTTTCTCCGCGTCAACTAAGTCAACACCTCTTTTAATACTTAATCAATTATAATATGCAGTCAGCGTTATTGCTCTACTTTAGGCTGCTCAAATCATCATGTAATCGAAAGTGTTGGAGTAAATGAACCTTCTCGACCAAAGCCCAAATTATTTTTGCTGAATTGCTTTTATGTTCTGTCGTCTTTTTCTCCGGAATTTGTTTAATACGTCTTTGAAAATTTGCATTCTGAAACTGTAGACGAGAGGATTCACCATAGAATTTGCCAGATATAAAGCTTCCACGAGCCAAATAACCACTGGCGCAGAAAAGCAACCAGGACAGAAACCTTTCGTTGAGAAGACAAGATAAGCAGGCATTCAAAACACAAGCGATGAAGCAATTGCAATATAAAGTGTTTTTGAAAGCCGTAAATTGTGCTCCCTTGATCGCTGCTTATGATTGTCTATCACGGCGGGTGAGGGTGCGCGCAATCGAGCGCTTATGCTAAGGTAACTTGTACAAATTACCAAGATGGAAATAAGAAGCGATGTCCTACCAGTGACAAAAACATATACCCCATTTATTTCTGGATAATAAAGGGATGACATAATAAGACCAAAAAAGACGATAGCGATGACCCAAACAATAACGATGCTATAGATGTAAACTCGACGATTTGTGATGCGATGACGGATTGGCCGTAAGACGGCGAAAGCACGTTCCAGAGAGACAAGCGCTAGAAAGTAGACGGACGTACTCGAAAAGAAAAGTGTAAAAGCCGCTGCAGAGAAGTTTGATCGGCTCAACATTAAAATGCCCTTGCCTAGATCTTGAGATTTTACACTTCCTATGACTATAAGTTCTGTAATCCCCACAAGTAAATCGGCGACTGCGAGATTAATCAAAAGAAGATAAGTTCGTTTTAGGCTGGATCTCTGAGTCCAGAATACAAAGATTGTGAACGTGTTTCCAGCAATGATAATGATTGCTTGCACTGAGTAGATGGCCACGAGGGTGATGTATGTTGAAGCAAGCATGTCCTTTTGGCGCTTAAGTGCCCTCTATTATCCGGGCTACCGATGTCACTGCCTTTAAACGTCAACTAAAAATCCATTACCTTTCAAAGTTTTTTACCTTATTTCATTAATTTGTAATGTTGTTTACCTTATTTCATCAATTTTTAACGTTAGAATTTTAGTTACCTAATGGTGCGGCGTCGTCATTTCTAGAGTATTTATTGTAAACAGATTTTGTTAATAGATTTTTGTAGCATGATTTGTGAATAGATTTCGTATGAAGCGTTATGAGCAGTTAGCGATAAATGAACTCATTATTATTATTATCCAAATTAAAAATGCGAAACATCTCCCACACAGTTGAAAGGTATGTTGAAGGTATCGAAAAAAATAGTCTTGTTGTTATTATTTCTCTGTCGAAAATACCTTTCAGTGTTCAGACCAGCAGGGAAATATCACAAAAATACAAGTCTCGTTGATCTCTAGCGAAGTTTGATATCAGCTTCAATTAATAATGCTGTATAGAGGACATTTCATTGTTCTGAGTTCTCAACTCAATGAATTAACAGTATAGTAATTTATGGAGGATATGAAGTCCTTTCACATGTGCCCTTCGGGTATTTTGACGAAATTTTTCAATAGCAGGTGTAAGCAAATACGATTATTTGCGTCTTAGTCTTAACAACATACTACAGCTCCTATTTATCATTTTGGACGTAGATTCAAGGGTTTTTTATTTGTCGTTAATGAAGCCCATATCATGATAAACAAAATAGCCTCGAACTCTAGTAGATTCATCATATTCTTTTGATATCCTTTCAGTGTTAATTTTAATTAATTAATTAATTAATATAATTAATTTTTAGCTATTGATAATCAAAAGGGAATCCATTAGGTAATTGAAGGAAATCTTACTCATGAAAAGGGAAGTAAGTCTCAATGGTTGGAGGCTGAAGAATTCAGGCAGGCAGCAAATAAAAACGATATGAAACCCTTTTAAAATGGCTTGAGAGAAGTATGTCGGCCACAGAAGAGGGGTACAACACAGCGTACTGTCCTTGATGGTGAGACAGAAATACAGGAGAAAGCTGAGACTCTCGACAGATTTGCAAACCAATTTGACCAGCTACTTAATGACAGGAGAAGTTGACAACTCTACCTTGGACACCATTGCACAGAGGCCAAACATTACACTTGTTGATGAAAATCCTGAATTGAAGTAGCTGTTGGATAGCATTAATGCAAGAAAGGAAGGTAAAGCCCTTGGAAGGTGTGGTATACCTGCCGAAATCTGGAAACATTGTGGCTCAGAAAATTGCCTCTAGTCTGTACAAACTGAGTTTGCAGATCTGGGAAACTGAAGAAATACCAAAAGACTGGAAAGATGCCATGATCGTGCCAGTCTTAAAGAAGAGAAGAAGAAAGGACTGTGGGAACTATCGAGGTATTTCTCTTCTCTCAATAGCCGAAAAGATCTTGGCTCGCATACTCCTCAACTGATTGAACGAACACATTATTCCCCATATCGTGCCTGAGACTCGATGTGGTATTCGCAGTGCATGGTAGAGGCACTGTGGATATGATCGATCCTCTGTTTGCGACAGTTATAAGAGAAGTGTGAAGAGCATAATATGCCGCTGTATGCCGTTTCTATCAACTTCTCTAAGGCTTTTGATACAGCGTTCGGAAAGTATTGATGTACTGCTGAATTTATCAATCTGGCGAGGGCACTTTTGATCCACATGTTAACATGTTAACATTTGGATCAATGAAGCTACATCTCCAAGGTATTTCCTGTCACCGATTTTGTCAAGCAAGGTTGCGTGCTTGCTCCGACACTGTTCTCTCTCTACCTAACAGCAATGCTAAAGGCGGCCTTTGACGGTGTTGCATGGGGGACGGTATCTTCATCCAAACTCGTACTAATGCTGACCTGTTTAACGTACCCCTTTTCAAAGCAAAAACACGCACAATCTAGATCCTAGGGAGGGAAATGATGTTTACAGATGATAGTGCTGTAATTGCCCACAGTTCTGATGACATTCAGAGTCTGGTGGACAGCTTCACCAGACCTGCCTCCCAATTTGGCCTAAGTTCAACATTAGGAAAACTGAGTGCTTATACCACCACCGCGGTCAAACGTCTAAATCGTTATTTTTGTTTTTTATTGCTGGGATTTCATTTACCAGTTAGAGAAAAATGGGCAAAGATGTATAAATCAGTTAGTCAACACATTTTTCTCAAAATTGTGAGCTTTTTTCGCTGAAAACGCCTCGCGCTAAAAGAGAATCATGTTTGAAAATGGCGCCGAGAATAACGTCAGCATCGGTTTTCACTCACTCAGAACTTTTTTAGTAAACTTTTAAAAAGTTTAGTAAACTAACAGGACGTTGGTAATACCCTAAACTTTCGATAGTGAAAGTAGCAACCTTAACTTTGAAGTATTTCGCTTAACTTTTGCAAATTTCACTCGTTTGACGGCTGTGAAGCTTATACCAACCGCTGCAAAACCCAGATCCAGTTTCTGAGCTAACAACTATAACAATCAATCAAGAGGCCCTGATGCAGTGTTACGACTTCAAATACCTAGGAAGCACTATTTCCAACAATGCTAGCCAAGACATTGAACTCAGATACAGGATGGCAATTGCAAGTGCTGCTTTTGGAAAACCACAGGACAGGTTTGGAAAAACCGGCATGTGTCTATTGAAGTCAAGTGCAATGTCTATCAAGATGTTGTCCTTTCTTCCCTCCTCTGTGGTGCTGAAACATGCATGGACTATACATCAGCGTAAGTGAAGAAGCTTTTGCCTAGTCGAAAGGCCTCATTATCCCGCCCGGCCAAAGCGTTTCGAGTCACGTGGTCAAAGCGAAAATGTGTTTTGCGCCCGTTCGCCCCGGATACGTCACTGATGTGAATTGACCGAGAGGGCCTGGGAAAACGCCGTACAGGGATTAGCTCCATGCCTATATATGGTAGGACATCTAAAAGTGATAATGAACGTATCCTGGAAGGACAGATGTTGCATTTGAAGAAAAACATGAATTCAAATGGAGAGACATCAATCTCAACCGATGGCAGGAGAGTGCCAACGACATACCTATCTGGATTAGACTTATCAAACTTTGCTGAAACCTAGAACAGTCTTAGTCGAACCGACTGACTGCCATGTTGATGATATTCTTGGCCGTTCCAATCATCTCTAAGCATTTCAGGATCCACGAATGGGGCACCATATCAAAAAAGGTTTTCTAACCAAAGTTCAAAGACCCTTATACCCTCATCAAGGTGGTCGTTACCGCGCCAGAAACCAAGCTGGTGTCTTCCGGTAGAGAGTGACCTATGTCACTTTCTGGCATGACCTCAGATCTAAAAGCTCCCAACACTGTTATATTAGTTCTGTAATCCCTACAAGCAAAGCTGAAATTGTGAGGTTGATCAAAAGAAAATAAGTTCGTTTTATGCGGGATCTTTTATTCCAGAATACGAAAATTGTAAACGTGTTTGCATGTTTGCGCGGAGATGACCACGAAGGAAATGGACGTCGATGAAGCGATGTCTTTCCTCGTTCAGCAACGAGTTGCTTCGCCGTTAATTCGGAACAACTTTTGCACGGTTGAAAAGGCCAGTCTATTGTACTTATCAATCACAAGAAAATATCGTTTTATATATTTCTCTGTATAGAATACCCTGTTTCAGTTGTACACCAAATAATATTTCTACATGAAGACAGTAAGGACGGCCCGCTAATCTTTGTAAAACTCGGTAAGGTTCAGAATTAGTATTAGAGAGTTTTAGATCTGAGTTTACCGCGAACCTCTAACCGCAGTTTGCGGTTACCCGTTTGCGGTTTGACGTTCAAACATAATTCGATTTAGATTGGCGTGAAGTGGATTCTGGTTTATTTTTCCATTTAGAAATAGAAGAAAAATCAATCAGTGAAAATAAAAGAAATTTACGGCAACACTGGGTTACCTAGCAGCAAAGAGCTGTAAATTCTTACATTAGTTCTTCTTGCAATTTTACGGCCGCCATTTTGAATCAGCAGCCATGAATGGCACTTGTTTTTAAGATCCAATAGGATTTATCAAATTTAGCATTTCGCCCGAATTTGTGCCTCTGTTAATGGATAAAGACTTGCTCCATAAGATTTTTGTATCATTGCGTGGGATAAAACAAGAATTACACGCTAAAAGCTCTCCCACGTTGAAAACGCACGTCGTAAACCTCAAACGTGACGCGAAAGACTTGTCACGTGACCGCCAGCGGTTAGAGGTTCGCGGTAAACTGGATCTAAAACTCTCTATTGTTGAGACGAATCAAGTCGAAGAAACTTGATGCTTAGCTGATTTATTAACGAAATGATTAAATTAACATGCATACGTAGCGGTAATACTGCAGGTAGACTGGCTTTCGTCTGTTCATTATACCCTAAGCTTTTCATACGACATTTCCTTAGCAGCGGTGTAAACAGATACGCTTAGTTATTTGCATCTAATGTGATAGCAGAATTCGTCGGGTTAATTGATTACATTATGTCATTTTTAATTTGCGAACACAAAACCGGTTGGCAATGGAAAAGCAATATACAAGAAAATTCAAAATGAAATTGGCATGTCATAAAAAAAATGTCTTAAGTTTCCTTTTGTGCATATATTCGATTTATTCTGCTGATGTTCTTTCAGAGGTAATTATACATATTTCGTTCTATATAAAATTGTCATTTTTGTGTCCATATTTTTATTAAAATTTAAGGGAGAGGAAGAGAGAAATTTAAGACATTTTTATGATTGTCGGGAGGGAAAACTCATAGGACTCATCTCATCAAAGTTGTTTCAAGAAATCCAAAATGTGTTTGTCACTGCAACACTTACAAAAGTGCTATAAATTGTTTGTATTTATCTGCCTCCCTTTAAATTACTTATTTACAAAGCCCATGCCAAATGCTGAGGTATCAACTTTTTATTAAAGCTTATTAGGCATTATTAGTATTGCGTTATGTTTTGCTAAAGCAGTTGATTAAATAACTAACCCAAAACGTTCTATATTCATTTTATAACACGACAAAAAATTAGTTAAAGTAAAACATGATGACCATTTGATTTGTTTGCCTCAAGTTTAACAAAGATTCAATTCCAGTCTAGAATTAGGAACATTTTTTTTTCTCATTTGCCTCCCTTATTTTCATTTATCAATTTTGGCCTTTTAATTTGTGGCGTATTAGTGCTTTTTTGACTTAAACCAAATTACTGCAATACAGCATGATTTGTAAAGCTCTCCCACTCCAGTAACTCACTTTGTCTACTGGAAGAAAAGATCTGCCAAGAGGAAATATAATTTCTTTGTAGAAAATAATTAAGATAAAAGTTCCGTTACGAATTAGTAGAGCTCAATAAGCTTCGATTCAAGTACTGTTATTCATTCTTCGTCAGAATGAACATCCCTTCATAATCTTAGACTACAGAGGAGTAAGGCAATGAAGATGGATCCGACGTTGAGTAAGATTGTTTGTACACGGTTTTTGCAGTGGTTTTTTTTTACCTTAACTAAACATGGAAATTGTATATAGTTAGTATATATGGGTACATAGATGGAGGTAGGCATGTTTTGTTGAAGTGGGAAACATAGCAGATCAAATACGATGACCCCTTTCTCAATCTGCCTAATTCTTCTTATCATACGAGAGCCAAACCAATAATTGCTAATGGATGGGTCGTTTGAGTTGTCCACGAAGAAGCAGTATTGAAGATAAAACGCCGATTTATATCTGCCCCTGAGGCCTAAGCCGGTTTCACAAAGTCTTTTTCACATCTGGTGTCAATAAACACGACTATTTATTCGCATTTAAAGCAAAGACTGTATATTTCGGCTGTCCTTTCTTTGGACATAGCGGGTTATCTTTTATTGGTATATAAAAGAGAGACGAGTGATTCAAGAACGAATAGTAGATACGAAATTAAAGTACGACTGGAAAACTTTAAAACGACTGCGAACTTGATTTCTGTGGCGTAAGATTTTTTTGGCTCATTAAAAATCTACCCATGGAAAGATTTATATTTTATTCCATTCATCTCCTTTCAAGTGGAAATTACTATTTTTCTGTATTGATGAAAAAGATAGTGTCATTTTCTATGTTGTTCATCATTAAAGGATGTCGAAATATGAAACACAGTGTAGTTTTTTCCCGTTCATAGTAATTTCGTTTTTGAAATTAACTGTGAAATATTTTCTTACAGTTTTACGTGGATCTCTGTGTTTTTATAAAAGCATTTTGGGTTTATTCATCCGTCGTTTATAACTGTTTAAAGTGCTTAGCTAATGAGTACCATCAGGCCGGGAGTTTATAATTGCAAATGAAGATATATTGCATCCTTTTCTGAGAAAAAATGGATTAGATATTATTTGAAATATTACTAGTAAGTAGTGAAACCAAAAAGTTAATATTCATTCTAATGCCACAAACATCGCAGAGATCGTTTTTGAAGTAATTTGATTACCGACAGCGTGAAGATTCTGATGTTGGGACGTAGAATTAGAGAAAAAAATATTCGTCAAAACCAACAATTTGTTGAAAGTTTAGTAGAATGGAACAATTTTGCAGCCTCATCAAAACTGGGCTGCGAATAACAGCAAACGTCATCACTGATGAAGGGGATCCGGATGATTTCTGACAGCTCTGCTAAACTTTCAACAAATTGTTGGTGCTGAAGAATATATATTTTTTCTGTAATTGATTACTGTTTGGACTTAGGAAAAATGTAACCTATTCCTTTTTATTTAGGACTCAAGCCGACTTATCGCAATAATTTATTTAATAAGTTAACACCACTGAAATTTAACAGCATAGGATATTATCTTTATCTCGCTTCATTAAACTGGCTCTAGGTTCCTTTCAAGCTATGTGTGCTTCAGTTCTAGACTCAATGCCAAGTCGTTTAGTTGATACTTACGTTTTACAGTAAGTTTTAGAACTAATATTCCTTAATTTTCTTGAAACAAACTAACAAACCTACATACAGCTGATATATTTTATCACGTTTGAGGCTGTTCAAAAAAAGAGTATTTTACAAAACAAATTGAATGTCAGAAACCGTATCTTCTCCAACTTTAATCCTTCAAATGACTCACAATCTGAAAGCCTGTGATTCAAATGCAACCTTCAAGCCACCAAGTGGTTACAACAGGTGATTAGGGTGAACGAATCATATATTACATAACTATTAATTTTGAACCATCTTGTTGGTGGAGCACACGATAGTCACTCGCGTTTGATTATATATTTTACCAGAGAGATTTTCGCATTTAGCGAAAATCTTTCAGAAGGTTTCGCTTCACAAATAATGACCTCGTCAACACGGCTTTTACTTAACTGTAATGTACAGACAGCGTTATAACTTTGTTTTTGGCAGGTAAAATCATTGTTGTCGAAAGGGTTGAGTAAACTAACCTTCCAGACAAAAGCACAGACTATTTTGCCCAACTGGTCTTACGTTCTGTCGTCTTTTTCTCCGGAATTTGTTTAAAGCGTCTTTGAAAATTTGCATTCTGAAACTGTAGACGAGAGGGTTCACCATAGAATTTGCCATATGCATGGCATCCACGAGCCAAAAAACCTGTGGCATAGAAAAGCAGCTCGGACAGAATCCGCTCGTTGAGTAGACGACAAAACCAGGCATCCAAAACACAAGCGATGAAGCAATTGTGATATAAAGTGTTTTTGCAAGGCGTAAATTGTGCTCCCTTGATCCGGGCTTATGATTGTCTATCGTGGACGACGATGTTGCGCGCAATCGAGTAC